AATGGGTTGAGGCAGGTAGCAGGTATGTATATATATATATCTAAATTAATTGACACAGCAGCAGAAATGACATGACACGACATGACATGACATTACGCACACACAAAAGCATGCACGCATGCATATATATACATGCAGATGCACGTATATTGTGTTGTACTTTGCTGTACTGATTTGCAGCGTAGTGTGCCGTACCGAACTGTACTATTGTGCATCATACATGTACAATCATGTACATGTTTGTATGTATGCATGTATGTGCATATGTACGTATGTATGTGTGTGTGTGTCGTACTGCAATATACGCCATTGTATTTGTATTGTATGCATGTATGTGTTGGCATGGATGGATGGATGGACCGACGGACGGATGGATGGAAGTATGTATGTATCTAGCAATCTATCTACCTATCAATCTAACCTAATCTACTCTAATGTAATCTAATGTAAACCAAACAAATCTACATAATCTAACTTAATCTAATCTAACTTAATCTAATCTAATCTAATCTAATCTAATCTAATCTTAATCTTAATCTAATCTAATCTAATCTAATCTAATCTAATCTAATCTAATATCTATCTATCTATCTATCTTATCTACCTACCTACCTACCTACCTACCTACCTAGCTATCTATCTATCTATCTATCTATGTAGGTCTGTATGTCTGTACTAGTGGTGTTGGTAATGAATGGTGTGGTATGGTCTGTTACTTGCTCGATGCTTCTTGGCTTGCCCCCAGTGCTTCAGACGTGTGACGTGTGTTGGAAGATGCTTGGTTCTTGCAGGATGCTGCATCTGTGGCGAAGGTAGAGGCTGGGCTCCAACATGCTAAGCAGTATTCGGCACTCTTTGAGTCCGTTGTCCATCGTTTCTGCAAGCTTGGCGCTGGACAGGTACGGGCTGCAACAGAAGCAAGGTTTCAGACGCCTTCCTTCCAGGCATGTCCCTGCGGGCTGAACTGCCAAGTGTTCGGGCGGCTGCATGCGGTCACCTCCTTGCATCCTCAGTACACTGTGAGTAGACCTGAAGCGCAATTTCTCGCGGAAGATGCCGGCTGAAGCTTGAAGCTTCGGGCCTCCTGTGCATCGGGAATCCGAGACGGTTCTTTGCACTTCGGTCGAGTTCTTTTTGCATCTGAGCCTCAGGAGCACGTGATCTGCACGGAAGGTTGCATCGAGCTTGTCTACGGCGAAGGTCCGGCCGCCAGCTGCTGGATTGCCCTACCATACCAGACAGTTATACCGTTTATACCTATTCCGACTTCGGAGCGCCTATCCACCGTGCGGATTTGCAGTCGACCTCCCAAAAAAGTCACATGTCAAGCCTTTAACAGTGTTCCGTTTTTCTGCTTCGAAACCCGCAAAGTGTCTACCAGACCAAACTGAACAGTACAGTCGTGAAGATGACCCTTGAAGAGCATATTGAGCCTTATCATGTAGAACATTGCGGCTTCAGTAACTTTTGCGTTTTGCCTGGTAATTTTAGTTCTGCTGCGATGCTGAGACCAGCGCTGCCGCCTGGAGCAGGGCCAGGGCGCATTCCTACCCCGCGGCCTGCGCGTGAAATGGACCTGGCCAGGCTCAGAACTCGTTCGTGAGTTAAGGTGGTTTAAGAGGGTTTAAGTCGACCAGCCAAGCTGCCATGCCCTGAATCTTGAGTTTTCTGCACGTCTCGTTCGGATACACGTGTTGCCTAAGGCTGCTCTGTGAAGGGTGAATGGCAAGGCTTCGATTTCCTTCCTTTTTTAGACGAGGCGCACTTAACGCCGCAAACTGGCACTGAACACCTATAAAGGGAGGATCTGTCGGGAACAGCTGACCTTCGCTTGGCCACACAAGAACACCTGCAAGATGGTAGCTCGAGGACCCGCCCGCTACACAGTGGTTTGCCTACCAGCCGCTCGGTCTGGTAGCAGTTAGGGAAGGAGTGAGCTTCACTCGTGGATCATGTCGCCAACTGGCTCTTTTACTCCAAAATTCTTGCCCCACCCACACTGCGGACTGCGTTCCAACCCAACAGCAAGCTGGTCAGCCAGTTTTAGTGGTAGCCCCGTCGGCCTCCCGGCATGCAAACGTTTTCATGAAGTTTATATCGCGACATGTCCTGCCACCATGACTCCCGCACACTGCCGAGAACAAATCCCGGCAATGAGCAGTGTTCTTTCCCGATGAGTTTGAATGAAAGCTCGAACCTTGTATAATCCACGGAGGAATCGTGCTTCTGAGATGATCCGAGGCATTCTCGCCTGAGATGTCGAACAGCGAGGAAGCACCATCAGATGCCGCAAAGGTGCGCAAGCTCTGGAGCGAATCAACGAGAAAGCCCAAATCCGGAGATGCAGCTCGAAGCCTGGACATGCATGATTCTCAAGGTTATGTGTCAGTGCAGGCACAGCAATCTTGTGGATGATTCGGGCAAGGCTACAGAATTGCAAGATGTCGGCATGAGAGGCAGCAGCAGATAGCATGCTGGCCCCCATGGTCGTGCAGAAGGTGGACGTCGTGGATGCGCCAGGCTTGTGCCTGGTCCTTTCGGGATAGACAACCTAATGTTTTAAGAATGTACAGTATCAGATCACTGTGATGGGATATGTGCTGAGGGTTTCACGTTTAACGTGCCTGCCAGGCGCCGGCAACAGACAAAGTTGCAAAACACTATGTGATATAATGACATACACATACAGCAGGCAGGGAAAATGTGGGCAATGCGATACACAAATGCGAAGAGCCGGGGCTCATATTGTGTGTATGTTTCTGGGTGTCCACGTCGCCAGCGCGCAACTCCCGCGGCATTTGTGAATCCTGCAGGCATCACCATCACAGAGCACTTCGGGAAAGTCGCCTCCAAGGATTGGCAATCTTTGTTGTTGTCATGTAGCGATGTGAAGAGATTGCACCTCGCCATGTCTGGCTTCCTGTTGAAAGTCTGAAGCCGTCATTCCTTTTCGCAGGGTGAGAGGCTTAGAGGTTGCACCACATGAAGTCAGCACGGTACTCCTGGCATCGACTTCTTCCCAAGAAGCACAGGAAAGCCTACCCAGACATTGACATCCCTAACCTTATCCCAAAACCACGCACGAGGAACACAAACTGCTCCCCACTACAAACCAGCGACGCGTCGTGAGGATCCGGTCTGCTCGCTGGCCATGGCCGTGGTGAAAGGCGCCACCGAGGAGGCCTATCAGGCGCTTTGGGGCTGCGGGGGAATAAGAGTTTGATCTCGAAAAAACGGGAGGGTTTCGTCAGGGCTTTAGTCTATGAGGTTTCGGGGCCGTTAGGGTTGAGGTTCTAAATCCAAATGTTTTGGAGTTGAGGAAGCTTGTAGCAATTGGGATTCTTCGCACTGTAACTGACGTAAGTGATGATTGGTGATGGTATTGGTCGTAGCATAAACAGCAGCACAGCTAAGGCTTGTGGCAGATCGAGCTGTGATTCCAGTTCCAACTCCCAACCTAGCCAAAAAAGACTGTAGAGAAAGAAGAAGCATAGTGAGCCAACAACACATGCTTCGACAAACGTGCCGGCCCAAACACATGTAAGGAGCTTTAAGGCAGCAAGAGTTCTGCTTCACTGTAGCTGAAGAATCGACAGGCTCCGCTCTTCGATGAGTTCGCTCCCAGGGTGCATATAAAGTCCGGTTTCATGGCGCAGAGTCCAGGGTTTGAGTTGTTTTTGCGATTGTCCTTTCACGTCCCGTTGTAGGGTTTATAGTTTTGTGCTTAAAAGGTTTTAAGGGGTTCTCATTTAGTCGTGAGTGGTACAGGTCTCAGGCTGGAGTGGTGGAAGGCTCGTAAAAAGTTGGGGGGCCTTTTGGTGGAAATTCTTTAAAAGAGGATCCTGGAACTAATTCGGTTCCCTATACATGGGTCGAAGTTTAGTTTCTAGTTTAAAACAAAACCAACAGCGAGCACGAAGGCCAAAGTTCAGCTGTGAAAACCTGGTGTTTGGGTTTTCATAGGGGGTCGGAATACTTAAACAGTGGCTGGCAAAAACGCAGGCCCCCGGAGCCTCCTCTTCTGTAACTATATGATCTGCAAAGCACCATCCGCAACTCCACATTTTGTGGCCCCTGTATCGGTATGAAGCGGGTTCTGGTTGTTGTGCCATGCACTGCTTCGGCCTATGTCCCATGCATGGTGTCCCCAACACTCCAACAAAGAGATTCGAATTGCAACTGTCGTTGACATGGACTGGAGCGAAGGAGCTTAATTTTCGTTTCTACCCTTGTCCAAGAGGCATGCATGTGCCTACATTCCGAGTTCAGAGGTATATCAGCCAACAAGCATTCCGCTGCTCCATTGGCGTCTTCAGTAAGAGTTCGGGGGTTGGATGGTGCGGGAGCCTGATCGTGGGAAATCGCAAGAAGAAAGGTGGTTTGCGATGCCGGATCCATCGAATTCCTTCACGGTGATGGCGAGCGGGTCAAGATCCAGGCCGGTGAAGAGCTTCGGAAACGGTTTTCCAGGTAGCTGCCATTGACTAACATGTGTACTATCAATCAAGAGAAGCATGGTCAAAAGTCACATTGTGTTGCAGCATAGCTGGGTTCTTCGTACATGTTGGTTCAATATCAGCATCATGTGCTTGAAAGTTTGTGCCTCGGGCGACTGCAGCTGTGCAATCACAGCTTCAGAACCAATGAAATATGAGATCCCAGCACAACTCGCTGGCTGAGAACATTCATCATACCCTCCGGAACGCACCATGAACGTCTCTTACACCAGCCCTTCACAGTTGCTCGGGTTCTGATCTGTCTCGCACCTTCAACTGCGTTAAACCTGAAAACGAAGCACCCTTAAAGTGAGTGCCGCAACCCTATGTGAAACTAAACGACTACCCCTGAGCTCTGCACCTTTATAAACGCCCGCAGCTTCCAAATCACACCATCCGAAGTTCTAATCTCGAAGTTCCGCATTTTCTAAGCCTTAGTGCTTCTTGTCACGACCAGGCCGGTGAGGCCATCTTCTTGCCAAAGGGCTTGCGGGCACGTGCCCCAGGGCTGTCTTCAATGTTCATGTCCGGCTGTGGGGGTTCGCAGAGACGGGCTGTGACTGGGCAATCGCAGATGATCCTCGCGCCTGACCGCAAAAGCATGATGCTTGAGTCTTGAGTTCTGGTTTCAGGATTTCTTTGGTGATGGTGTTGTCAGGCCGTCGCTGCACCATGCCTTGAGCCTTCAGCATGCTCGTGTTTTGCGTCCAGTTACGACCTGAAACAACCAGGCGAAGAGCTTTGCAGCTTCAGGCATGAAATGCCGGAACGTCGACCCGACCTATATAGAACCCCTGAAGACTCACTGTTCTGGAACCGAAGTATTTTCTTCAACCTTAGCTTCAGGCATGAAAACCCTAAGCCCAGTCGACACCACGAGGGCAAAACACCGCAGAAGGTAAAGTGGATTTGGCCGGAAGCTACCCGCTACACCGCCGCTTGTGCTGCAGAGTCTGTTGCTTTTGTCCTGCGCCCGCTCAGACACACAAGCCAAAGGAGTCGTAAAATTCGGCTGCACATGATGACTGTGTCCAAAAATTCAAAAATCCCTCCTTTGTGCCTTTCTCCAGACTCGTCCGAAGGCCCGAGAAGCCTCCAATTTTTTTCGCACGGTACGAATTGAAGCGATTTCTCCAACTCTTCATGGCACGGGCTGGTGCACAATGATGCTGACAGAGCCGACAGCTTTAGGGTTGACGATAACTGCAAGTACCGTTCGTGTCTGTGTGTGTGTGTGTATATATATATAGATATATAGAAATATGTATGTAACTTGGTATGTATGTATGTATGTATGTATGTATGTATGTGTGTATGTATGTATGCATGTATGTATGTATGTATGTATGTATGTATGTATGTACGTATGTACGTAGGCATGCATGTAGGTATGTATGCATGCATGCATGCATGCATGCATGCATGCATGTATGTATGTATGTATGTATGTATGTATACATGTATTGACGAACATATAGACTAGCGTGATCACATACTTGTACCAATATTTTCTGGAAGTAAACAGAAGTAACTAATTGAATAGAGAAGGTTGCTGTGCACAAGGCTCTCTGTGGTGGTCACAGGGGGAGAGCACCGACCCCGAAGCAGAGTTCAGGGCCTATACAGACATGCCGCCCGAAGACCAAGCAGAAGCTCAGAGCAAACGAGCGGCCTAATTCCCTACTAAACCCTGCAACCCATCAGACCACCAGTATTTGCGTGAAAATCGCCGCGGAACCTTCGAAAACTCTAACGATCGAGGTGCTTTGCCTCCCGGCCTTCTCTCCTGAACTCTCCGGCCGTGAAGCAGAGGAATCTGCAACAGTTGCCAAGGACCTCGAAAAACATAGTTTAGGGTTTACGGGGTGTTGAGGCTGACATGTTGATGGTTTGGCTCCGGGAATCTATGGCTTAGGACCATGATTCTCTGCGAAGTGTTTCGGTGCTTGCGGCTCAGAGTCGAGGGCTTAGGTATGATGGGCAACCGGTTTTGAGGTTCTTGCTCAATGCCAAAATCCCAAACCATAGAGGCCAGACAATGCAAGTCGCCAAAATCCGCGGGTTGAGTTCGCCTGCTTGAAGCAACTTGAAGCCATCGGTGGAGGCTTTTCCGTTGGTACTTTCCCAGTATCCAACGGTTTGGGGGTCCATTGTACAGGACCCGTAAGAGATCGCTTTGTTCGTTTGCTGGACCAACTTCGGGTCAACCGTCCAGCCTGGGTCGAAACATCGCTAAACCTTGGTTTGGGGTTTTAGGGCCAGTTTAGGGGATAGGGCTCAGGGACCTCCCAACGAAAATGTGTCGAAGCTTGTCTGCTCTCAAGAAGCTTGCTGGGTGGCAAAGCTCTGCCCGGCTTGCACCACCCAAGAGTGGGAAACAGGAGATTGCCGCTCCAAAATCCTGGGAACTCCAGGACTACAGGCAGAACCTACCAGCTCCAATCTGACATGCCCTGCTCCCAAGCAGCACCTTCTCTCACTCCAACAACACACTCCTAGGGCCCCTCGGGCCGCTCAGCTCTGTGAGCCCAGTCCTTGGGTTTTTTTCAGCGCGACAGTCAACGTAAGCAAAGCCGTCTCCCTCCGGTTATGGCTTGGCTTGCTGTGGCCGTATGGTGTGGACTGCTGACCTCCACCTCGGCGAGGTTTCTCTTCTGGGGTGACCTTGGCAAGATTGGATTCCCGTAGCTAGGCCGTAGGATGCCGGAGGAGGCTCGCGATTGAAATATGGGAGCTTACCAAACGGTCCCCGTTTCGGAGATCTTCTAATCAGGACAGCCTCGATTCCAAAGATACATAGACTGGGCTGGCTCCAGCCAAGTCGGCTGACGGCTGCCAAACCATGTTTCTAGGTATTTAAGAAGTTTAGTATTTTTGGAGCTGGGAGCAGGAATCGAAAACTTTGCTTTCTGCGTGTGTGAACGGGCACCTGTGGTAAGTGTTGGACAGGTGTCGGCGCATAGGTTCATCTGACGGGGGCACGGGGGCCATTGCCAGTCTCCTGTTAAAGATCACTTGCATGCTTCATGAGCAGATCAGCCCGAAGGTGCGATCTGTACAGGGATGTGGGTCACCTGCCAAAGACTGGGCCCTTGTCAAGGCATAGGGGCTGAAAGATGGCCATTGGGTGCCTTTACGCATATGAAGACGGAGCCCACAGGCCTTAAGGCTTAACGCCCGAAGCCCCTAAAGCTCAAGAACTCTGCGGCCTCAGAGCATATAAAGGCCCTAAGCCCTGAAACCCCTGAAACGGCAAACCCGAAAGTTATTGACTTAAGCATCACACGCCATAAGACTCAACCCAACCCCTTGAGCAGAAGAAACATGCAGAGCAACAGATATTGCGAATCGAAATACTGTTACGTACCGAAACGAACACAGCGAATAGCATGTTTGAAGAAACTGCCCAAGGCCAGTGCCTGGAAATCACGGGATCCTGTGAGAATGCGACCACAGACTTCGTCATTGGCCTCGAGCACCTTACCCTATAAGGTTTTGAGGGTTTGTGCGGCTCTACAGGGCGTGGTTGGGCAAACAAAAAACGGTTTTTTAAGGGCTTTTGGGCGTAAGGGTGGGGTGAGGGTCGGTCTTGGCGATCTGAAGTGTTTCTGTTATACGGCATGGAGCTTAGACTCCATTTTGGGGGCTTAGGTGATGTAAGTTCCAAGGGCTTAGGACTTCTGGTTGATGGTTTAGTGTTTTTATCCATTCCTGCTCTTGTCCTTGGCGCACTGCAAAGCCCAGGTATAACTGGGATGATCCGACAGATCTGATCACGGTCGCAGCTTGGGACGGTCTTCGCAAGTTGTCCGATGGTTTCTGTTTGAGACGAACTCCCCAAAGTCAAGAGACCTGGTAGAGCTTTGTGCAATGAGTGAGGCGTAGGATTTCGGCCTTTTGGGTGTAAGTCGTAAAAAGTCTTGAAAGGGTTTCAAGCGCCTACCGGACTGCCTTAACTAGGGTAACTACGGCAAGTGGGAGGTGGATCTAAACGCGTCCACCATGACCCAGTGTCTGGCTGGACATCTATCGTCGGTAGGCGGCTCCTTCTGCCCCGATGACAGACCGTCTCCTTTTGGCCAACTTCTGCTTTTTGGCATCCCGATCTTCTTTCTGGCATGCATGGTGGTCTTCTTCTGCAGTCGGAGATACCCCACACTGCAATTCTGGGTGATGCTCATCACCTTTTGGACTGCTGACCTCGGAGCAGGACTTGCAACGGGCATGTACGCGCAGATGTTCTACCCCACCGGGGCCACGAAGGACCGGATCTTCTTGCGTGACAGTGTCCCAGCCTTCCTTCGATAGCAGTAGGGCAGGACACACTTATTTCCATTTTGAGGTTGCATTCCCACGAGATAGGACGCTGTTCTTCTTCTTGCTGGTCCTCTGACAACCTAGGCTTGGCGTCATCGCCCTTTGTGGAGCAACTGGGAGTTGCCTTCATCTTCGAGCTCCTCACCTGGGACTGGCCGATGCAGTTGCTCAAGCTGCTGCTGAGTTTGTCTTGCTGGCCATGCAGGATCAAACGCATTGTTCAGGGTGGCGTGTTCTTAGTCGCGGCCTGTTGCCTGGGCTGCGGCTGTGCCTACATGGCGGTGGATGCAGCCTACAGGCACTCTTCCTGAATCTCCAGTTCAGGAAAAACATCGGCGACGAATCACAAGTGCCGCAAAGTAATCGTACTGTCCTACATGACTTCCCATCCTTTGATGCATGAACACGTCCCACCCAGATCACCACATCCTGTGAAAGTCTCCAAGTAGAAATACTTAGCACCTGGCATGCAGACCCCTCTCTCGCAGTCAATGTGGGTGCAATGTAAAAAGCAGTACAGCCGCGGTTAGAAGCTGCGTAATGTGGGGCATGCCACTCCAGACATAGACTCCCTCCAAGTTTTCCTGACCCCAGGCCAGCCTCCATCGTGGTTGTGGGGCATCATCCGCTGATCTTGGGCTTGGTGAACTTTGCCCTGGACCTGCCCTGGAAAATCCTGGAGCGGAGGGTCAAAGCCGTCGTTGAGGCACGCATTTGGCCTGATGCCGGCACCTACGAGCAACTTGGACCACACAATTTGAACTTCGGGTCTTTACCATTTCTCTTCGATGTTCAAGAAAGAACCGACACAGTGGCCTGAATGTCAGGTCCACCATCAGTTCCAGCATCACCAAAGCAAGCATGGCTCTCGCCACAAATCCCCTGCAATGACCTTCTGCACTAGTATGTAACAAGTACGACCGCCAACAAGTGCACAAAAAGGCACCACAACCACCGCCACCACCACCACCACCACACAACCACCACTACCACCCACGGCAGCAGCAGCAGGAATAGGAGTAGCAGTGGTAGTAGAAGTAGCAGTATTGCGGCAGGAGTAGAGGCAGGAGGCTGCAGCACAAGCAGCAGCAGTTGCAGTAGTCGTTGCCATCGTCGTGATGTCGGACTTGCATTCCGCAGCGGATAGGCACCAATCCACCGAAGTCAATTAGCGCATGCTCTTGTGGTTCACAACGAAGTCTGGCTAAAACCCTAAACCCCTCTAAACCCTCATAGACCTTCAACCGGATTGAAGTTCTAACTCTTGCGACTTGGCCAGTGGGTTCAAGTACTGTGTTGTCTTGAGGGCAGAGATTTCCGTTTGCTGTAGAAGGGTCTAGTTTGGTAAAGGTGTCATCTCAAACTCTTATGTTGCACATACTGGGGCATGACGCAGGCCATGTACGCTGGTTGTTCGAGCAGGTAGCGACGACAGGCTGTGCCATCAACTAGTGGAGCTAGACGTTGAACAAGTCTACTTTGTTCCATGCACGGTATGTGCCTTCCGAACCATCAAAACGACATCCTGCACGGACAAGCAACTTATGACGCTGCTCGCAGATGAATCTCCTCCGCCGAAAGGCAGCACTGCACTGCTTGCAAATGATCCCTCAACCTTATGTTAAATTGGTTCCAAGCCGGGCTCACGGAGTACGCTTGGCAACAGTCTCAAAAGCGCCGTCTCCCGAGGTTTCTGGATTACCAGTCGCATTGGTTGGTCGAGGAGTTGGCGGATCCACTTCCGGAGCAGTTTGTTGCGGAGTGTCGATATGCAAGCTCACTTGTTTCGGTGTAAGATTTCGGGCCGATTACTCCGTTGCAGCTTCTTGGCTTGATGCAAAAGAATGCAAATGACCCCTTGCCGGAGGCATAGCGCAAAGCGCGAAGAGACCACTCAAGCTCTGGTCAGATGTTTGTGCGAGTTCATGCATAAATTGTCAAGCTTGCCCCGGACGGGAATGGGCTTGATATTGCATTGACTGTTTTGCCTTGTGTGGTGCACAAAAGAGCACACTTGCTTTGGGTGCGTTTGTAACGTAATTGAAGCTTACAATATTTCGGCAGCAGTCACGACTGCTGCTTCTAGGTAACACTACTTGTTTCCCTTTCCCGTCAGGAGATTAACGATGCGAGGCCCACTATCCAGAGAATTCTACGAGTCAGGAATACCTAAGCAACCTTGCTTGTCTCAGTGCGAGTGTCAAAGCCCTTCTGTAAGCGCGAACCGAACAGCCTGACAGCCCGAGTTGCGAGACTCCGAAGCCACGCATGAAATTTCAAGGGCCTGCTCTACTCCTTTTATCTCTTTTCCAAGTCTTACCTCGCAGCCTCGGCATAGAGAGGGGAAAAAGATCTCAACTCATAGAAAAGGCTTGCTTCACGGGTCGGTTTCACTGCGAGATGTCGCAAACGGTCTCAAGCTCCAGAGCAATTGAATCCAAAGCTCCCCAAATTCCTACAATCCTACGCCCCACAGCCCAGACCCTTTACTTGATCTGGCAGTTTGGTAGACCCTTCTGCAATCACGACCCCTAGATAAGGTCCCAGAATTGATTTTTCGCGGCCGGAACAAGTGCCAACAGAAGTCCTCAGGGTTCCAACATATGTTATGCTATAATTAATGCACCCCAAAACTTATTCTAATTATGCAAGCCCCTTCTAATATGCTATGACGTACCCCAAAACCTTGACTCTAATCATCTATTAGCCCGTGCGCTAACTTGGACTTGTTTGGGGAGGACAGCGCCTCTATGAAGCGCCTCGAGGCTTTGCATGCCGACTCGTGAGCCGGGCCTGCCAAACAACGAGTTTAGCTTGGGCAGCTGAGTAAGTGCAGCGAAGATATGTAAGCACTAGCACATCGACACATGGGTGCACATACATCTGTATACATGCCTATATGTATGTATGTATGTATGTATGTATGTATGTATGTAAGTACGAATGAATGAATGTATGTATGTATGTAGGTATGTAGGTATGTATATGCACACACTCATGCATGTTTGCACGTGTATGTGTATCTACGTGTTTGCACCGGTGCAAACATAACACCAGCATTATGCGGCTGCATATGTATATGCATTTTGTGTTTGGCTGCGTATTTTGCCTTGCATGCAGCTGTGTGTAAATGGAACCGTTTGCCTTTATTGAGCTTTATGTTTATAGGCAGCATCATTGTTTTCACACAGGCGGTGGTACGTATTTCAAGAGTGTATGACATGATGTGATGGGTGGCAGTATGATGGAAAATGGCGCACTCTCCGACGATAACTTGCAGCATTCTGTTGTGCACGACACTGCATGTAAGTTTTGAGCCGCAGCTGCAGAGCTCAGCTCAGCGGTCGGCGTTTTTCGGTCTTCAGCGACGATTTTCTCGTTTTCAGCTGCTTGTGCATTAGCATGCTTCACGCTGCTTGGCGTTGCCATAAAACAAGTCCGAGGCACAGGGTGTGTATTTTGTGCTTAGGGCATGTGGGTTGTTAGAGTTCCGGAAGGCTGTCTGAGGCTGTGTGGGTAGGTTGTATTCGACGCGGGATCCTTTCGGAAAATTGGGAAGATCTCGCCAACTAGACAAGATCAGCGCTAGGAGGCCCTGAAGCCGAGACAGAAACCTAATTCGGCATAGCGAGTGTGTTAACTGCAACTAGGTTACGCTATGCGGCATTCTACCGTGTAGCATCGTTGTTTTAGCCACCATCGTCCCAGGTTTCGGTGGCAACGGCCGTTCAGCAGGCCTGCTCCACGTAGTTGAAGGAGCTTACAAGCAGGTGTGGGGCGTCGGCTTTCGGCGCACACGATGCAGGGTTTAGAGTTTCGGGTTCTGGGTATGTGGCAGGGGTAGAGTTTAAAGCATGTGGCGGTGGCTCAATCAGGTGACATTTGCGGAAGAGTTTGCAAGTGATTCGGTGCCTGCATCCGCAGCAAACTCAACCACCTGCCATCAGCATTTTGTCCCGCGACGGAACCGGAGTTGTTGACCCGAAAGTCTTCGGATAGTAAGGGGCATCGAAGCATGCAAGGCAGCACCACATCAGATTTGGGGACAACTTTGATAAGTTCCAGCACAGCATGGCCCAGATATCCTGCGTAGCGTGCAGACTCTGTCCCGCGCCAGGCTTTTCGCCCATGGTTCGGAGCAAGAAGGGCCGGACGCGTTTCGTCCAGGACGCAAGAACAGAGTAGGTTTGGGTCGGCTGTGGTTTTTTGATTCCGGGTTTTCCGCCGACTTAGTCTTGAAGGTTCCCCCCCCAGAGTACCTGCGAGGCACTTCTGTTGACATGACGGTCAGCCTTGCGAAGCTTCAAGAAGGAAATGGCTCTTTGATGCTCAGTTTTCCGTGGAGCAGCATAGGACCAACACTGGCAATATGCAGATTATGCAAATACGGCTCCATATGACAGTATAGTTACGTTACGCATAGTTTGTGTCCAGCAGACGAAGGTGACAAGGATAAGACCCGGGTCTCCTGATTGGATTGTGATGCGTGCGAGATTTAAACAACCTGGCAGTTCGGTTTGCATTTGCTTGCGTTTGACGCTTGTTTCTGAAAGCAAGACGCGTGCGTCCGTGTGCCTGCTCCTCCCAGCCAAAGTCCGAGGAGCATACATGCTCCTCGCAGACAGGAAATTCACAGTGCCCTTGTCCGTTGCAGCTGACTTTGATCGGAATCGACGACACAAACATGTGCTACGTTTTGGGAGCTGCAAGTTGAGACGGGATGACAGATTTGAATATCAAGTCGTTGCTTTTAGGGTCGTTACGGCTAGGGTTCTATTGTTCTGATTGTGAGTATCCTGAAACATGGCTCTTGTTTCCAGGTTCACATTTACATCGTGTCACAAAGTATGGTGGAGTTACGGAGGATGGAGATAAACACCGCCAGTATATTTTTTCACCGCTATGCCTATGCCGTGTGGTTATGCGTTTTCTGTATGAAGCCCCAAAAGGCGTGACCAGAAACTTGATGTGATTGGAGTTGTGCAGCACCATGTCCGCACCGATCGGCCATCATGACATGGGCACTCTCCCTGCCATTGCCGCCTCAGCGACGCTGCCGCAGAAGGGGGACAGGATCCATGCGTATTGGGAACGCGCCGCCCTCAACTCTATTGCTTGCCGATTCCTGAATGGTGTTCATGCTCATCCTTTCATGCCTTCGCGGTCTCGACAAGCTGTAAGAATTGGCTCACTTCCCCTGGGGGATCGGCGCTCAGGTGCCAAACTACTCGTCGTCGTAGTCGTAGTGGACTCGTATTGGTAGTCTTAGTAGTCGTGGTCGTGGTACTGTAGCAAGAATAGTAGGAGTAGTCATATAAGGAATAAGGAGTGGTAGTAGCAGTACGCACGAGAGTGCGCTTTCAGCCTGCTTGTGTCGCAGAGCGAATCAGGTCAAACTCATGCGACGGTCATGCTGCTGGTCGCCAAAGGGCATATGAAGGTTGACGAGGCCTCCCCCTCTCGGTCTTTGCCGGCACACGTTGTCGGTTGAGACTTTGAGACCTTATGTTTGAGGAGAATCAGCAGCTCGAGCAACTTAAGCTTAGTTGTTCAACGCATGCCTGGGGCAGGTGCTGTAGGGCTGTAGGGCTGTGGCGGGCCGTAGCACCTGTTTGTGCTAGGGCAGGAGCACCCCTTGCTGATGCAGCGACAACTTAAAAGTTGCATCTCCGACGGCACAATGTGAAGTGGGGTGAGGCACTCTCCACGGTCAGCAGTCTGACAGACTCGCCCCTTTAAGACTCGAGAGAATCTCTAGTACGAGCACGCGAATTGAGACCTCGCCTGCGGCTAGTCCGAGTTGCGAGAGCGTAAAGGTTCGAGAGATGTCACCACCGCTCAATGAGCCACGATGACATGCTGCGACTGTGCCCGAGACACGGCTTGGGCCAGGTGCGCCGCGGCACGGAGTACTTGGATTCTGGGCAGGTTCAATGGGTCCATGCTGCTGAGTTTTGCCGATTCTGTGTGTGCAGTTCTACCTGCAGGCCGGCCGGCAGAGTGGTTCTTAGCATTCTTGACATTTACCAACCAGTAAATCGAGGAGCCTCCATGTGCAGCACAGCAGTGGGAAAGAAACCTTGCGCGAGATGCGTTCCTGAATCACTCGAGATCATGCCCAAGCTGAGGAGCCTGAGGTCTACAAGAACGGGTCATACTACGAAAAGTGGCCGGGCTAGCAAGAGCTGTAGGCTATACGTCCACAAAGCATCCTCAGACGAGTGCGCATGTCCCGAGCTATGCACGTGTTATGAGATCTTCAACCACAAGCCCTGCCGATCGAAATCATCAAATGTTCATGAAGAAGAGCCAAGTATGCGCAGGATTTGGGGACTCTCTAGGTACAGGCGTATCGCGCCAGGTTATGCCAGCGTAAACCGCGAACGCATCCACACCAGGGACCAGGGCCACTTCCTAGCGACCGGTAGTCGGCGACCACACAGAAGAGACCGAAAGGCCTACTATCGTGGGCTGACAGGATTTTGGACACTTCAGGCACTGCCCGGATAAGCTAAACGCCGCCTGAGACGGCTGAGGTTGCTCGACTGGCTCAGTAGCGCGGCCTTGCCAGGGCGATAGACGCTTCGAGCATTTCGAACGGCAACCTATAGACGCTTCGAGCATTTCGAACGGCAACATGGTGCCAAAGCTTTTGACTTTGCATTGATTTCCGCCTCCTCGGTAGACCGAGACAAAACCTGCACCACGCCACTGTGTCGGCAGGTTCTCCGACCAGGGTCGCGGCATCACCAATTTAGTCTCTGTGCTTGAAGTGTAACAATAATGCAGCACGTTGTGCATATGCCAGTGTGCAGTGCAGTACGTGTGTCAGCACAGCTCAGTCAAAAATGCTCAACTGGATGAAACAGTCGGTAAGCCCAAGCCGAAGGTGGGCCATTGCTGTGGCCAATGCCATGCTGGAACATCAAGTGCTCAGCAACCAGGAGCGACACCTCCGATTTCCAAGTACTTTGAGGCTTTAAGTTTTAGTGACTTGGCGTCCCAAAAACGGGTGATGCAGGAGTCCTGAGCCATCCTGAGCCACAAACCTTTTCAGGCAGTCAGCGAGACCTGAAAGCCCTGTGGCTATGTATGCCATCAACAGCACCAGCGATGCTCGCATGTGAGAAGGGGCCATGGGAGCTTTCTGAAATCACAGCGGCTCTTGTTGTCGTTTTTGCGGTGCAGCTACAACGGTTTTTAACTGGTCACCAAGCATCCCCCGAAATCGAGAACCCTAAGTCCTAAGCCCTGCTGTTCACCTACTGATGGGTTGTTTTTAGTGTTTACTTGTGTTGCGAGAGAGCTGCAGTTGCCTTCCTGCTAGCCCACCGGCTTTGGCCTGTGTGTCTGTCCTGCTCATTGGCCTGTCGGTTTAGGCTGTTGGGGCTATTTATTGCTTGGGCAGCGTCTGTGTTTGGGGACCCTTGGCCGATGAGCTTGGCTGCCCCGTAAACTCGTAGTCCTAGCCTTTTCGGGACGTCCCAGTCTGGTCTTCGCATTGAGGTAAGGGGCTTAGACTTGGTCTTGCTGACTTGGGTTTTTCTGCCGGTGGGATGTTCAGTCCTGTTTCACGCCGACTTCGCACCGTGAACCTCCCCTGGCATGTCCGAGTTGTGAGAGTGTAAGTCCTAAACCCTAAACCTCTGTCAGCTGGGCGGGTGGGAAAAAAAAGCTGTAAACCAAACCCCACAACCCCAAGTCCAAAGCCTTAGACCCAAGCCTGTAGCCTGTAACCCTGAACCCCATAAGCCTGCGACCTAGTCAGCGAAGCGGGTGGGAAAAAATAAGCCTAAGTCCTAAGCCCTGCAAGTGCGAAACTCTGAGGAGCTTTTTGAGGCACTTGGGCCCGACCACGAGGATCCGGTGCAGCGGCACCTCGTCTTTTTGTTTACGGGGCTGACGGTGTTTGCTGAAGGCTTACAGGGGGTTCAGGGTGTAGGATTTAGGATTTCATGGGTCGAAGTTGGGATCTCGTGCATGAAAGGGACGCACAAGTAGGTTTTGTTGAGCATGTCCAGGGCTTTGTAGGGATTAAAGGGAGACCTGCATGCACTTTTGAATCAGACGGTAACTCGTAGTTACTACTGCAGCCTGAACCCTAAACTGGTAGTTCAACTGTAGCTCGCTGAACTGTAGCTCAGATTTTGATCCCAGGTTCTCCCCTGGAGACGTCGTTCGGGTACGCCATGCATCCCATGCGACCCGGTGGCGCCGTCCTCATCTCCGAACTCCTGGCTTCATCCATGGCGTCTGTGGGGCACTCAGTCTTGTCTTAGTCTTTTGGATTGGGGGCTGGGGCATACAAGCCCGCAGCCATCAACTGTGAATGGACGAATAGCCATGTCGTATCCCGGCACCCGAAGCCATCGCATCCGACTGAATTCGCGGGTTTGCGTCACACCTGACCTAACTCCTAAATCCTAAACCTTGGTCGGGAACCCCTTTCGGGCGCTTTTACGGTAAGGGTCTTAGCATTTGGTGTTGGAGTTGGTCCTTTCCTTCCTGGGGGTTATTGCTTCTTGTTTCACGCCGACCTCGAACCATGAACCTCGCCTGGCATGTCCGAGTTGTGAGAGCGTAAACCTTCAGACCCTAAACCCAAAGACTGCCTTCAAAAAAGGCGGTTGGAAAAGATGCGTGGGGCTTCAGGGCTCCTTTGAGGCAAATTTGGGTTTGAAGACTTAGGTTAAGCTGTTAACAATGAAGTTCCTGTAGCACAGCATCTAGCCTGGAGGGCAGGCCGTTGTCTCTGGACAGGCATCTTTTTTGTCTCCAACAGTGCGTGAGTGTGCGATCCCGGGTCGGAGGGCTTGAATTAGATCGGAACTCAAGCTCCAGAATCTCCGTCGTTCATGCAGGTGGCACGGTGGACCGCTATGTGGGCAGCTTCGACAACCCAGAGCAGTGCTCCATTTGAGAATACAGCAGTGTGTCGTTGATCAGGGCTTTGTTTAAAGTTGCTTCGGGAGTTTGACGGTTCAGCATCTTCGTCTTGGGCAGGAGGTGGGCTCTCATCCGTCATTGTTCGAAGCCCGGGTGTTTCTAGCACAGTAATTACTTTGAGCGAAGACTATGACGGAGAGCTTGTTGCAGATGCCGTTGCAACTTGTACGACTAAACAGCCTTAACGGTGCAGGAGCTGCTGATGGAGTTTAGACTAGCACTGGTTCTTCTCGTTTCCTCGAACATGAACGCACTGGCATGCCGACTCTCTCGTACCCCACAACTTCACCTCCTGTCCATCCAGGGTGTAGCCTGTATGTGCATGCAGCAGATTGAATAAAGGCACTTCGACGCTGCTTCTTTTAAGCTTAGCATACCCATAATTAGCAGCGAAATCACCTGTATGGGCTCGACACTGAAGGCTTGCCTTTGGCGGCAGAAGCTGGTCAAAGAGCCCGCTGCTCGTGCCCACATTGGTCGGTTGTTTGATATGCGGTGCTTATGAAACAGATGGGGAACACAGCTTTCTCGGCCATGCAGGCTGTACATAGTCCGCTTCGATGCTGGCAGCATCCAGGACTTCGATGCTGGTGAGAGAGGAAAGGACCAGGCAGGCCTTGAAGACAAACATGGACACAAGAGGTCGGTGCATCTGAACGTTCCCTCCCTCCCTCCCTCCCTCCCTCCCTCCCTCCCTCCCTCGCTCCCTCACTCTCCCTCCCTCCCCTCTCCCCTCCCCTCCCTCTCCCTCCCTGTCTCCCTCTCTGCTTTGCTCTCGATCTTCAGCTAAATATGCCTCAGCATGGAGCAGCAGTCCCAAGCCCAACCACACCATCGGAGGTGACAGTAGACATCTACCAGAGCTGGCTCGAGCCAGCAGATGCTGCTGCGCAACTAGATTGCAGATGCAGATGCTGCAGGAATTTCTTGAATTCGGATCCTGTGGGCGATTTCTTCGTTGCACACTAAACGTCACGCATTTCGGTACGCGGCGAAAACAGTCCCTCATGCTTGGTA